GAGCGGCTGGGCCCGTGAGCCATGGCCGCTGAGCCTGCGCGTCCAGAGCCTGTGCTCCGCAACGGGAGAGGCCACAGCAGTGAGAGGCCCGCGTACCATAAAATAAATAAATAAATAAAAATTAAATAAATAAATAAACTATAGCTAACATATTTCATGGTGAAAGACTGAATGGTTTTCTCCTAAGATCAGGAATAAGGTACGTATGTTGCTCTCACTACTTTTAATCAATCACAGTCATGCTGGAAGTATCATCCAGTGCAACATGACAAGAAAAGGAAAAAAATGCGTTTATCTCTGAAATGAAGAAATAAAACCACCTCTATTTTATTTGCAGATGACATGATTATCTACATAGAATATCCCAAGGAATCTACCAATAAAACTCCTAGAAATAATAAGTGAGTTCAGGCAGGTCTCAGAAGACAATATAAACATTTTTAAAGAATCATTTGGGGACTTCTGTGGTGGCACAGTGGTTGGGAGTCTGTCTGCCAATGCAGGGCACACAGGTTTGAGCCCTGATCCCAGAAGATCCCACATGCTTCAGAGCAACTAGGTCCATGCACCACGACTACTGAGCCTGCACTCTAAAGCCCGTGTGTCACAACTGCTGAGCCCGCGTGCCACAACTACTGAAGCCCGTGTGCCTAGAGCCCGTGCTCTGCAACAAGAGAAGCCACCGCAACGAGAAGCCCGTGCACCACAACGAAGAGTAGCCCCCGCTCGCCGCAACTAGAGAAAAACCCAGGCGCAGCAACGAAGACCCAACACAGCCCAAAATAAATAAATAAATATTTTCAAAAAATCATTTGTATTTTTACATACTAGCAATGAACACAAGGACACTGCAATTAAAAATATAAGGCCATTAACAGTGTTTTAAAATAAAATTAAAATGCTGAAAATGATAAAATTCTGATTTGAAAAATCACAGATCTAAATAAATGGAGAGACATACCACTTTCATGGTTAGCAGACTAACACTAGTGAAAATGCCAGTTCTCTCCAAACTGATAGACAAGTTAACACAATTCCTATCAAAATCCTAGCAAGGTTTTTTGTAGATACAGACAAGATTATCCTCAGATGTACATGGACTGGCAAAGGAGCTATAATAGCCCAAAATTTTTTGAAAAGAAGAAAAAAGTGGGGGGGACTCAGTCTAACTAATTTCAAGACTTATTATCGCTATGGTAATCAAGACGGTGGTATTGGCAGAGGGATAGACACACAGATCAATAGAACAAAACAGAAAACCCAGAAATAGACCCACATAAATGTGTCCAACGATTTCTGACAAACGGGTAAAAGCATGTCAGTGAAGGAAGGATAGCCTGTGCAACAAATTGTGCTGGAGCAATTCGACATGCATAGGCAGGGAGGAAGAGGGGCCGGGGTGGGAAGGAGAGGAGGGGAGGAAGAGGGGAAGGAAACCCAAGCGTTTCACAACTTATACAAAACTCAAAATGGATCATGAACTTTAATGTAAAGTTATAAAACATTTAGGGAAAAATGTAGGAGAAAATCTTTGGGATCTCGGGCCAGGCAAAAAGTTCTTAACTTGACACAAGGCAAAAGACGTAAATGAAAATATTGATAAAGTAGATCTCACAGAAATTTAACACTTGCTCTGTGAAAACCCTGTTAGGAGGAAAAGACAATCTGCAGACTGAGAAAAAATATTTGCAAGCTGCCTACCTGACAAAGGACTAGGATAGAGAATGTATAAAAAGTCTAAAACCTCAGCAGTAAAAAAATAAGTAATCCAACTTTAAAAATCAGCAAGCGATATGAAGAGACATTTCAAGGGAGAACACATACAGATGTCAGTTAAGCATATGCAGGGATTCCCTGGCGGTCCAGTGGTTAGGACGCCACGCTGCCACTGCATGGGGCACGGGTTCAGTCCCTGGTCGGGGAACTAAGATCCCGCATGTTGCATTAGCCTCTAAAACATGATGAGATATCACACCTATTCCAATGACAAAGTAAAAAGTTATGACACAAGTGATGCTGGCAAGGATGTAGAGAAACGGGATCACTGATACATGCTAGTAGGGATGTGAAAAGGTAGAGCTTGCAGTTTCCTCAGGAAGTAAACATGCAACTACCATATGACCCAGTTGTTGCCCTCTGGGCACCTATCCCAGAGAAACGAAGACTTCTGTTCTCACCAAAACCTGTGCACAAATGTTCATAGAATCTTTATTTGTACTAGACCAAAACTGGAGTCAACCCAGATGTCCTCCAGCAGGGGATGGCTGAACCAACGGTGGTCCATCCACCCCACGGAACACTACTCAACGGCCATGCTTGAACAAAGGGTGATCCATCCACATCACAGCACACTACGGAGCATCGCAAAGGGACGGGTACTGACACTCACACGACGCGGATGAGTCTCCGGGGAATTATGCTGAGCAAAGTAGCCAATCCCAAAAGGTTACTTACTATCTGATTCCATCTATGGAACACTAAAATGACACAGTTTTAGGAAGGGAGGACACGTTAGTGGTTGCCAGGGATTAGTGACAAGGCCAGGCAGGAGGGAGGTGGGTGTGGTTATAAAAGGACAAAATAACAATCCTTGTTGGAACTCTTCAGTGTCCTGATTGAGACTTCACAGACCAACCTGGCTGATGAAATTGTACAGAATTTAATACACACACACACACACACACAAGTAAAACTAGGGAAACTGGAATAATATCAGTGGATTGTATCAGCACCACTCTCCTGGGTGTTAGCTGCCACTGGGGAAACCTGGCTAAGGTGTCCAAGGGCTCCTTTGTATTATTTGTGAGAATTGCATGTGAACCTCTAATTATCTCTGTAAAATTTTCAATTAAAAAAAAATCCTAGGGCTTCCCTGGTGGCGCAGTGGTTAAGGGTCCGCCTGCCGATGCAGGGGACGCGGGTTTGTGCCCCGGTCCGGAAAGATCCCACATGCCGCTGAGCGGCTGGGCCCGTGAGCCATGGCCGCTGAGCCTGCGCATCCGGAGCCTGTGCTCCGCAGCGGGAGAGGCCGCAGCAGTGAGAGGCCCGCGTACCGAAAAAAAAAAAAAGAAATCCTATTGCTAGTAATGTTTTCTGAAGAAATAACCAACAAGCAAAGAGCACAAGAGCATCGTGCTCCTCTGAGAACTGTTGATGCCAGGGTACAGGGCACAGCTGGCATCCTCCCGCAGAGTCGTGTGCTCGCCGTTAAAAATTACCCCATGCGTGGCTAATCAGTGTGTCTACGTGTAAAGAGCCATTTTGTTAAGTGAAAACAGTAGCTTCAAAAAGAGCATATAGTAAAATCTTTTTTTTTTTTTAATCAACAGCCTTGTATATAAAACCTGGGCAAGATATAGTCTAGTTGTTTTCAAAGTTATCTTGTCGGGGGTATGATCATAGTTAGTTCTCCAGTTTGCTTTATTTTGGTGTTGGCGGGACCGTTAATAGGGGTCAGCATTCCTATTATGATTAGGCCTGCTAGATGAAATACAGTATACCTGGTTACTTTTTTTTTTTTTTTTTTTTTGTTTGTTTGGGTTTTTTTTTTGCGCGCGGGCTTTCTCTAGTTGCGGCGAGCGGGAGCTACTCTTCATTGCCGTGCGCGGGCTTCTCATTGTGGTGGCTTCTCTTGTTGTGGAGCACAGGCTCTAGGTGCGCGGGCTCAGTAGTTGTGGCTTGCGGGCTCTAGAGCGCAGGCTCAGTAGTTGTGGCGCACAGGCTTAGTTGCTCCGTGGCATGTGGGATCTTCCCGGAGCAGGGCTTGGACCCGTGTACCCTGCCTGCATTGGCAGGCGGATTCTCAACCACTGAGCCACCAGGGAAGTCCCCTGGTTACATTTTTAAATCAAGACAAACAACAGTTTTTTAGTATGAGGATGTCCCAGGCAATACTTGCACTTCTATCTGCTAATTCTGGCACTCCTAGCTATGATCATAAACTCTGAGTCATTTCCATCTTGGAAAATAAAACACAACTAGCCATCATGGACTGGTGGCCTCCATGCCTGACGTCTGGGGGCCAGGGTGTGAGCCTGCCTGAACCCTCTGCCCCAGTCAGGGCCTGCTCCCACCTGGGCATCCCCTTCCCAAGCCCTGAGTCCCATGTGCTCTCCCCAGGGACGCCTCCTGGGATTCCCTCGGCTCTCTCCAGCAGCCTCTCTCCCACGAGGTCATCCTGTCTCCATCTCTTGCCCTCCCTGGACCCCAGGGCCCTTGGTCCTCAAGTCCTTCAAGCCCCTCCTTGATCTGGCCCCTTCCTACCCGGCTCACCGCCCCACCATTCACACGGATGTCTCCCCTGCCCCAGGGCCTTTGCACCTGAGCACTCTGCATGCACCTCCAGCACCCCATCCCAGCCACACTGCCCCTCTTTCCCGACTGGTGGCACTTCTGCTGTTATGTTTCCCTGCCGCCTCCCCTCAAAAAGGTAAGTGAAGCTCTGTTCCCACGCACTCCTGTCCCACCGGGGGTCATCACCACTTGCTAGGCATCCCACCTGCAACTTCTCTCCAGATCAGTGCCTTACTGAACCCTGCCACTTTCTCCCTAACGCCCTCTGGAGTGCCTCCTGCAGGGACTATGGTCCGCACCTCACTGCCACCCCAGTCCTTCAAGTCCCCTCCTCTGCACCCCAGGAAGGGGCCAAACTCCAGCTGAGCACCCCGGGACCTGTCCCACCGCCACTCCCGCGTCCTCACCTTCTGAGCCGGCTGGGTGGTTCCACCCTTGGACCCCGACCTGGGCGGGCTCTCCCCATCCTCTGAGAGGGGGCACCGGTCTGGAGGAGCAGGACACCTGGCAGATGCGGCTCTCCCCACCCACCTCTCACTGTCCTCCTCTGCCCCATCCAGAGGTGGTTGGTTCAACCATCATTCCCACTTCTCAGGTGGGGGAGCGGGGCCCCCAGAGATCCTGGCTGCAGGGTCGACCGGGGGCCTGGTGGGGGGCCCGTCACGCCATCAGTAAGGGCTCGGGGTCACTGTTCCTTGCATACCTACCCTGCGCCGGGGGGCCCTGGATCGCCTGTTTCCGGTCTTCACTCCCCAAGCTGGCAGCACCATGACATCAACAGCACCTCCTGCGTGGAGACAAGGACCATCTGGTGCCGCCATGAGGTCCTAGGGCCGGAGGAGTTAAGTGCAGGCCCTGCAGCTCCTTAGCCCCAAGGGAGGAAGGCCACGCCCGGCCCTGCGCTCCCTCCGCCCCAGAGAAAAGCCACCGGGACACGTCACACGTCTACTGCAAGGGCTGGAGCTCTCCTGCCTCCCACAGCACAGCACGAAGTGATGATGAAACCAGCTCAACAGTGGAAGCCGCAGAGGCACTTCCTCTCTGCTGGGCCTGGGGGCCTGGAGCCCCACTCTAGGCCCCGCCCACCCCACGAGGCCGGAGGGGTGCTGAGGTGATACCTGGATGCAGTGGAAGCCGCAGAGGCTCTTCCTCTCTGCTGGGCCTGGGGGCCTGGAGCCCCACTCTAGGCCCCGTCCACCCCAGGAGGCCGGAGGGGTGCTGAGGTGATACCTGGATGCAGGGGTACCTGCGTGGGGATGGTACGGAGCCTGGCCCCCTCCCCGGCTCTCCGGCTGACTTACTGGGGTGTGGAGCCTGGAGCAGGGTGGGAGCGAAGCCATGGGAAGGCAGGTGGGCCGGTGGGCGGGCAAGAGTGAGTCTGTGGCCTTGGGGTCCTCCCTCCCATCCCCTCAGTCCCTCCCGTAGCCCGGACCCAAGCCCAGGAGGGCTCACTCTCCCCCCGTCCCTCTTCCACCCCGCCCCCCCACTCCAACCTTGCAGCCCTCCAAACCCTGAGGGCATCATCCCAACTGGACTGGGCAGCCACAGAGCACCCAGGGAAAACTTCTCCTCCCCAACCCAGGCTGCCCAAGGCCCCCTTGGGCTCCGACACCCCTGCACCCTTCCTTCCAACCTGCCAATGCCCCAGCTCCTGGGAGGCCTAGGGTGGGCGCAGGGTGGGGAGGGCAAGCCTGGCCTTGAAGGGCCCGCCCCCAGGTGAGGAGCTGGGGTCAGTGTTGCAGAATGACTCAGGGGTTCCGTTCAGAAGAGCCTTGTGGAGGGCCCCCCGGGGGACCCCGCTGATGCCTGCATGGCACGGGTGGTCCTTGCAGGGGTTCCCAAGCCCCTGCCCACCTGGACCCAGAGTCACACCCGAGACCGCCCGTGGCTGGGGCTGTTTTGTTCCCGCTGCCCCGATTCCACACCAACTTCAGGGAGACGCCTCAGAACCTCCCCCTGGGGCCCCAGCATGGCGCCCCAGACCTTGTGTGAACCAGCTCCACCCCTGCCAGCTCTGTGACCTCGGGGAAGCCCTCACCCCCTCCAGCTCGGGGTCCTCTTCCCCGACGTGAGCAATGACACTGCCTTCTGTGTGGGGTGGGGGGTCCCACGGACAACGGGGACAACGTGGTAGGTGCTTGGCACCCTGGAGCCCCCTCCTGCAGCCTGACGGCTTCCCTTCCACCTGGACCCACCTGGGGTCTTCCCCACGTGGCCTGCTGGCAGAGCTGTCCCCCTCCTGCGCGCACACACACACACACACACACACACACACACACACACACACACATTCTTGCTGCCCTGAGGGAAAGGCAGGGACGTGTGCTGAGGACAACAGAGGTGGACCCCTTTCACGGTCCCGGAACCACAAAGCCCTGCACTCCAGGAGGTCCATGGACTCTGAGTTCTCAGCTGCAGGGCTGCCCACGGCACCCGCAGCAGGAGACAGGCAGGTGTCCACCCCCAAACCACGGCGCTCCACGGTGCAGCTGCCCTCACTTCAGGCCTGGCCCTCAGGACCCTAGATGCGGTCACCAGGGCCAGGGGGCCCAGCTGCTTCCACACGTGACACCATCAACCTCACAGCCCCCGAGCTGGGCTTGCAATCTCAATTCACATTTGAGAAACTTGCCCAAGGTCACGTGATGGGAAGCTGAGTATGGGGTGAACCCCCTCCAAGGACCACAGTGCGGCCCACACGGACAGAGAGCCATCAGGGCCACCGAGGGTGCTGCAGGTCAGTCCTCTGCCTCGGTGGCCTCAGTGACCTCAGAGCAGGTGGTCGGTCACTCTTTATTCCCCATGTTGCCTGAGCGTAGACTACACATCGCGCCCAGTACCAGGCAGGGCACAAACCCCTCCCTCTTTCCCGGGGCTCCAAGTCTGTGCTCAAACTCGGATAAAATCCAGGAGGTCACACTTTTGTTCAGTTTAAATTAAAAATAAGATCCAGCATCTTGGGCACACAGAAAGTGCTCATCAAGGATTTGATACATGAATGCCCCGCAGCAGCTGACAAGGCCACACGTTGTCCTGACTCACTGGAACAGTCCAGTTTATGTTGGTGCCAGTCTCATGAGTATAGCGCCCCATTTCATGCCCACGGTGCCCCATTTGGGCATTAAGTTATATGGCCACCCTGGGTTCAGAACAAAAATCCTTCCTAGGTGAGGTCAGAGCAGGCCACACCTGACCGAACTGCAGGATGTGAAAGGTACCTGTGGCTGAAGGACAGAGCGTGGGCCTGGTGAGTCCCTCGGGGAAGAGCTGCCATTCTGCCAGGAGAATCTTTTATGTCCACATCAGATCAGTGCCGGGCAATGGTGGGGACTCAACCAACCCATCCCGCCAAGACTCAGGGGGTGTTTCCTCTTCTCAGCGCTGGGCATCGTACATCGCACAGGAAGAGAAGGCCCTGCTCTCCTGGAGCGTTCATTCTACTCAGGGAGGCTGACCATGAACAAGTCAACGTCAGAGAAGAATGAGGCTGGGTGGGGCACTGCTTTACAGGGAAAGAGCAGGGAGAGCCCCCCGTCCCAGGACAGTGACGTGTGGGCAAAGATCTGAAGAGGTAAGGGGTGAGATGGGCAGACGTCTGGGGAGGAGCATTCCAGCGGGGACACAGCCAGTGCAAAGTCCCTGAGGTGGGACCCAGAAGAGGACGGTGTGGCTGGAGCAGAGTCAACGAGGGCCGGGCAGTGCCAGGGCAGTAGGAGTCAGGCAGTGTGGGCCTGGCCACCATGGCTGTAAGAACTCTGGCTTTGACTCTGAGACAGGGACCTCCTTGAGAGAGTCAGTGGAGGAATGACCAGCGGAGGAACCAGGGAGAGGCTGCTCGTTCATCTATCGCAGGAGTTGGCAACTTTTTCTGTAAAGGGCTGGATAGCAAATATTGCTAGCTTTGCCAGTCATAGGGCCTCTACTGCAGCTCCTCAACGTGGCCTGCATGGCAAAAGCAGCTGCAGGTGGCCCGTGAATGGGTGGGCACGCCCGTGTTCCAGGAAACCTCGAGCGAGCACAGCGACATTTGCATTTCACAGAATTTTCATGTCATGAAATATTATTATTGTTTCCCCCAGCCATTAAAGACTGAGAAGACATTCTTAGCCCGTAGTCTGAACCAAAACAGGTGGCGGCAGGATTTGGACGGTGACCATAGTCTGCTTCCCCCTGAGCTCTACAACAAACACCCACCACTGCCCTGGGCCAGGCAGCGCCAGCAGGCAGCGCCAGCAGTGAGAACAAAAGAGCAAAACCCCGCTGCCGCTGAGATTTGTAATAAATAAGTGAATTAGAGAGGGTGTGAGAGGTCCTAAGTTCTCCCCTGCCTGGCTCAGGCACAGAGGTCAGGTCCCTGAGGCTGGAGTACAACCAGTGGCCAAGGAGGCAGCCAGAGTTGGGAGCGGGTGGTGGTCGCGGAGGCCCGCGGGAGGGTGGCGAGGGGAGCCGAGCCACGGAGGAGAGGGAGTCATGGAGGCCGCGGGAGGGTGGCGAGGCGAGCCACGTGGGGGGGGTCATGGAGGCCGCGGGAGGGTGGCGAGGCGAGCCACGTTGGGGGGGTCATGGAGGCCGCGGGAGGGTGGCGAGGCGAGCCACGGAGCGGGGGGTCACGGAGGCCGCGGGAGGGTGGCGAGAGGAGAAGGGCTATGGGGAGAAGGGCCCTTTACACGCCCGACTCACCCCTCTGAACTAGTCCAATAATTGTTGAAAGACTTCCTAATCATTACATTAAGACTTAGAAAATGAACATATTTGTCTCGTTTTCATTCAAAATAAGCTGTAGTCTAAAACAGGGTGACAAAGGAGAGGCCTCTGGGCCAAAATCACTCTGCAGAATTTATTTGGTCTGCGCATAAATTTGTATTAGGAAACTATACGTGAAATGTCCGGATCTTACAAATACCGAAAGCGAGCCCGAGTTCCGTGTGTTCAGCACCTGCTGCGCTGGGCCTCTCCCGAGCGGCTGCTCGGAAGCCCCAGCCCGCCGGCCCGAGGCCCCTCCGGCGCCGGCCACTTCAGAGGAAGGGGCTCTGTTCCCCCGGCCCCCACAGGGGTTAAGTTTTAATCCCTGTTCTCCGGCGAACGAGGCCGCGCATGGCAGCACCTTATCGCCTTAGACTTAAGGGCTTAAGTGCACCCAGCACGTCGCGCAGAGCCCTTCGGAGCCCCTCTGCGGGAAGGACGCGCGGCGCTGTTCCGGGGTAAGCCGAGCTCAGGGCTCCCGCACAGGTGGGCTCCCCGCCCTCTCACCTCCCGAGGCTCCGCGGCCGGCCGCTCTGGGGGTCGCGCCCCGCGCACCTGCCGGCACCTGCGCGCACCTGCAGGCAGAACCGGGCGCCCGTCACGCCGCAGCCCTCGGCGCCCCGGCACGTATGCGTCCGGTCCGCCGCCAACGGCCGAGCTACCAGCAACACCGCAGCAACCCAACCCGCCGACGACTCCAAACCCGCAGCCGCCCGGCTGGCCTGACCCGGGGTCGGGGCCCGGCGCGCTGGAACTGCGCCTGCGCGGTCGGCCCGCAAGGGCCGGGGGATGGGATTGCGCCTGCGTGGTTGACCCGCACCGGCCAGGGGGCGGGACTGCGCCTGCGCAGTCAGCAGCACTCCGGCCCCTCGAGCGGCGGGACTGCGCCTGCCCCGTCAGCACCGCCTCGGCCCCTGGAGCGGCCGGACCGGCCGGGCCCCAGGGAGGGACGGGCATATGGGCACTGCGCCTGCGCGCGCTGGTCCCGCCCCCTTCCCCGCCCCGCGCCGCGCGGGGCCCTGGGAGGGGTGCAGCGTCCGGCAGCGTCGCGGGCGGGCGGGCGGTGGTGGCGGCGGCGGCGGGAGGGGCGCGGGGGCAGACAAAGCCGCAGCTAATGAATGGGAGTGAGTCCGCCTGCGCGGCCGTCGTCCGCAGCCGGGCGGGAGCCGCCCCACGCCCGGCGCCCGCGGTGAGTGCGCGGCCGGCGCCGACTCTGCCTCAGCCGCGAGCTCGCGACCCGGGCCCGGCCGTCCTGGCGCGTCGTCGGGCCGGGGCCGGGGTCGCGGGGGTCGGGGCCGGGAGTCCGGCTGGGGGCCGGAGGTCGCGGGGGTCGGGGAGCCGGGCCGGGGCCGCGGCCGCGGCCGGGATCGCCGCGATGTCGCCTGAGCCGGGCCGGGGGTTGGGGGGCGGGGGCGCGGCCTCCCGTCGCCGGGACCCCGCCCGGGCCGCTCGACTCGACCACGGTGCCCGAGCGCCGGGCCCGCGCCCCCGGCCCGGCTGACAGCTGGCGCGCGGTGGGCCCGCGGACGGTCGCACCCGGGGCGCGTGTTCCGGGCTGCAGGGTTTGGTGGAGGAAACACCTGAAGTGGTGGAAAGTTGGTGCGGACACCCGGCCCGGCCGCAGCCGCGGGGATGGGATAGACGGGGCACGGGCCCAGGGACTCGGGAGAACGCGGGGGCAGAAGTGCCCGGCCGGTGTGAAGTTTACGCGCTGACCACGCGGGCGCCTGTGCGCGCGGGGCGGGACCGGGCGCCGCAGTCGTGGGGGAAGCCCGGTGCTGGGGTGGGGGGCGCCGGACGGCGGCCGAGCGGCTCCGCGCAGCAGCAGACAGGTGCTCTTTGGGCGTCTTTCCTGAAGTCCTTTGCCCTCCGCCACTACAGCGAATCGCCTTACAAGTTACGTTTTTAGGATTTTCCTCTAGATACAGTATTTTATTTTCAGTGCACTTCCAGGAAGAGGCACCCAGGGGCCTTATTTACGTTTGTCTTAGGAAGCAGATGAGACCTTCCTTATTACTACATGCTTCTGATGCTTTTTAGCTATTGTACGTGTTTCTGGGTAGGACCATTCAAGTTTAAGTAGTGAAAATATGAATGAAATTGCAAAGCATAATTTCAAGTGTTTTTTCCAATTGCGGTTGTTTTTCTAGACCGAAGTAAAGGTGGAGTCATTTGTGTATCTTCTTTTGTGTTTTTTCTGTGACCCACACCATCCCTGTTACTTAAGAGAATTGCCAGCCCCCTTGACTCTCCTTGTATTTTGGGTGAATTTCAGTAGACAAATACATGCACCTCTCTGGAAGCAAGTCCCTGCCAAGCTGAGCCGTCAGGAGAAACTTCTGTTGGCATTCTCATGTTCCTAAAAAAGGGAAGTTCTTTGCTTTGAAGTTAACTCTGATCAGATCAGTCCATAGGTTTTTTTTTTTCTTCCAGCTTTAAGATCAAGTCCATAGTTTTGAAAAAGCCACTTTAGATTTTCATGAGACGAGTGTGGTCATGCACCAGTGTGATAATGGCGCAACCTTGTGACTTTTTATATTAATTTTTGAGGTTTTCTCTATATCATGGTGATAAAATTAGGAGACGATGAAGGATTTAGTTGGAGTTTTTAGAAAGTGCTCTGAATAAGCCAAATTTCAATTATGAATTAATTTCCATACAAAGTTATCTTGTGAGAGGAAACCGTGTACTCAGGGTTTTCCAATGGGCTGTCCGTGCAGGGATGCACACTTCCTGTAATCCTTAAACAGATCATATCTGCTCATCATGATTTACATTTTCTCAGGAAAAGATCTAGAAAACTTAAGAGAGAGTCTGTGACTCTTCAAGAAGGTAATCTCCTATCTTGGAAGAAAGCTCAGACTTGCGTTCACGTCACAGGTGTTTGCTTGACACCCCTTCCTCCTCCACTGTTCTGGCTAATTCCCGATGGTTTTGGACATGAAAACTCTGCCCTGTTTTTCAGTGTCACCGCACAGAGGAGGAGGTTTGTGAGTAACTCAAGCTGTGCAGAGAATGTTCCTGACGCATGGGGAAAGGTTTTAAGTGAATTTTTAGGGTCACCGATTGAATTCTGTGTTTGCGCGAAGGAGCCGATGCGGAATTTACGTAGCAAAGGAAACGTGTGTACCTGTATTTCAGATCCCTGTCTGGCGAGGAGTTTGGAGCGTGGCTAGCACCGGGCAGTGGAGCTGTTGCGGCATGAAGAGCGGTGACGGCGGTCAGTGCTGTCCTTCCCTCTGTGTGTGTGTTTCTCTTTGCCTGGCTTCCGCTCCTTCATCATCTGAACTCTGGTCTGATCTCCTCCTTCAGTGTGAGGTCTGCCTGGCGAGGGGAGGGGGGCAGGTGAGCGACTCTGGGGCACAGTGAGGAGCCTCTGATGGTTGGTTGGGGGCCCCCGTGACTCTCCCTCACCAGCATTGTGTTTCCTTCTGAGCTTCTCTGCACAAGGCTTGCGACTGAGAGACAGCGACTGTTATTCTTCTAGTTACTGTTTGATATTTAAGGTGCTGTTTACATCTCAGTACTTGACATAAGCTGTAGGAACCATCGTTCGTATGTACGTTTTGTGTTGGATGAATTTAGCTGCATCAAAAGGCACAGTTTGCCTCTAGCCCCGACTGTCCTGCAGCCTCTCGGTCAGGCCTCCCTTCAGTGTCTGGGTGACAGCGGATTTCTTGTCAGTCACCTTCCAGGTGCTCAGCCCTTTCCACAGCCCTGTCTCTCCTGCCCTTCTCCCTCACCCTACTTGTCATTGCCTGACTTTGCATCATTCTGGAATAGTTCACATCACTTCCTAGCTAATTGTTTGATGTGTGCTTTTGGTAGTTCAAATCCTGGAAGGGGTTGTTAGGAATAAAATAAAGTCTTTTCTTCTCACGCCCCCTATTTCTGAGGTAGAGGGGACCAGGAGAGACAGAGGTGCCGGACTCTGCATGAGGTTTTCTCACCTCTCTACTCTGCACCTGGCGCTGTCCTACCTGCTGGGGGCAACGGTGGTTTTTACAAGAAGGCCCTGCCATTGGAGAACTTAACGTAGTGATGGTGGGATGGACTCCAACCAGAGAAGGGAGCTCCAGGAGGAGCACGGGCAGGCGAGGGCGGGGGTGATGGCAGTGTGAGAAGCGTGCTCCAGGAAGACCTCTTTTAGCGGGAGAGGACCTCTGAGCCCCGCCCTGCAGTGTCTGGGGGTGATGGAGTGGAGGCCCTGAGTAAGAAGCAGCAGGGCCTCCACTGCTGTGGGAGAGGTTGGCCCCTCCGTTTGAGCCCATGTCCTGTCGTAAAGCCCCCTTCCCAGCCTTGATCAGGTGCCCGCTCTGCTTGGTTTCTGCTCGCATTCAGGTGAAGGCCTTCCAACCGCCGGGCCCCGCCCTTTCCCCCCCCCGCAAAGTCTGTGTCGTAGAAACCACTGATGCTGGGCTGGGCTGGGGTGTGCCCCGCTGACCCGCCGGGTGCTCTGTGTGATGGCTCTTTGGTCTGTGTGGCCTGCGCCCCGCCCCCACAGATGTAAACCAAGGGACTGCGTTTTCATCCAAGGCCACGGCTAACTGAGCCTTACCTTGTGGCTCTCGTGCCACAGAGGCAGCAGCGGAGGGAGCTGTGTGCTGTTTGGTGAGAGCTCCGGTTACTCTGCCGCAGGCCATGTGCCCCATCTTGGAAGTAAAAGGACTCCAAACACTCTTCCAGCAGCTTCCAGCCACGGCAGCAATTTCAAACCTGTCACTGGTGGGACTGCCCTGTACGCCAGGGAAAAGGTGCTGGTATTGGGTAAAGGGACCCTCAAAAAGACAGAGCGGAACAACCCAGATAGCCCTGGTCTGTGACCCAGAACGTTTCAGGGGTAGAACAGGGACCAGCCGCCCCGAACGGAGTCTGTTTGCCTCCTCTGGAATGTGCTTTGTTTCCAGGGTGGCCTTATCAGGTTTTCTGGCCATATCTCGTGGAAGTGGCTCCGGTTCTAGGTCTCTGAGTTCGCCTCTCTGCGGTGGGCTCTGGCTCTGGTCTGGGTCCTCCGCCTCAGCTCGGCCAGGCCTGGGGGCTGGCTTCTCCATGTGAGTGGGTGCTGGTACTTCTGCATGGGAGGCAGTTGACGCTGTTGCCACCCCTGGAATACGTGAGTCATGGCTCTCCACCCTCAGAAGGTGCTACAGTTACTCAGACGTGGACCAGATCTTAATTTATAGCCTTGGTGGAAAGACTACCACGTCCAAGGGCGAGCCAGGCAGGGGTGCCGGCGGCGGCGCTGATGCCCTCGGTGTATTGCAGCTTTTGGGGAGCACGTGGACTTTGAGCTGAAAGCAGATACACTTCTGTGTTTTAAAGGCTGTGCTGTGGAGAGTTGGAAGAACAGTCCGTGGTGCTCTCCGACCTGCCCCAAGATGGAGCACGTGTCACGACATTGCCATGGCACTGCCGTGGCTGCCACCTCCGCCTGTCTGGTGCTTCCAGACCTTCTCTAAGGAGATTGCAGATGTCACAGCACTTCACCTCTAAGTGTCCTTTTCTTCTAAGGAAAGGCAAAGGGAGGAATTCCCTGGCGGTCCAGTGGTTAGGTCTTGGCGCTTCAGCACTTGCATTGCCGTGGCCTGGGTTCAGTCCCTGGTCAGGGAACTAAGCTCCCGTGTGCCGCAGAGCATGGCCCCCCAAAAAGGAAGAAAAGGCAAAGGGATGTTCTTCTCTCTCACCAGCAGTCCAGCTGTGAAGGAAATGAACGATAATCCCTCATCACATTCAGTGGCCAAGCCGCAGTCCGATTTCCCTACTTGTGTTTATTAGCTTGTTTGTTCCAAACCAGAATCTAGTCCAGGTCACTGCACTGAGTCTGTCTCTTTAGACTTTTTTTCTGGAACAATAACCCGCCCCCATTTTTTTCCGTGACACTGACTTTTTGAAGAGACTAGGCCAGCTGTCTCGCGAATGTCCCATGTTCTGGGTTTGTTTGCCATTTTCCTTTGTCGTTTACAGTTGACCCTTGAACAACACGGCCGGCGGTTGGGGGCGCCACCCTCCGCATAGTCGGAAATCCAAGGATAAGTTATAGTCGGCCCTCGGTGTCCACAGCTCCTTCCCATCCTCGGACGCCACCAGCCGGGGACCTGCACGTCTTCACGCGGGTGGTGCCGGGCTTCCTGTTTGCCGCCCTCAGAGGCTGTCCTTTTGGGACTGACGCCCACTTTCTAGGGCTGTTGTTCTTTCTTTCTGTATTTCATCTGTGTTTCCCTTGCCCGTTACATTCAAGGAAGACAGGAAAAGTGCTGAATTCTCTCCTTGTATTACCTCTTTCTGGGGAGCAGTGGCTGTAATATTCACCTGCATTGTGGCAAATGTTTTTTGTTTGTCCTTTTTCTTCTTTGAGTATCAGTGCCGACTAACAGGTTTTCATTTATTCATTACATTGTAATCTATTAAAGTCCTCTGGTTCTGTTTCTCTGGTGTTCAGATGGTTGTGACTGACCCGTCGGGAGCCCCGGTGAAGCCGGCTCCGGGTGCTGCTTTGGCATCATCCTGGCAGCACTTCCCTTCCGCCACCTTCCGTTCCTTTGCCAGAGCTGCAGTCAGCTCTTTCTGCAGAGCACTTTGGTTCCCTTTAGTGCAGAAGGTATTTAGAAACCAAGATCTAGGTATTCGATCTGTTTGTTGTCTTTGGGTATTATTGCAGCTTTAAGTGTTGGTCTGGTGCACAGAGCTAGGAAATGTATTTTTACAACATCAAGAGTTATATTTTCAATGCAGATTTAAAATTATATAGTTTTACTTAATTTCTTTGATTTTTAAAAAATGTCTTTTTCTTTTCTTTTTTTTATTAATTAATTTATTTTTGGCTGCATTAGGTCTTTGCTGCTGCACGCGGGCTTTCTCTAGTTGCAGCGAGCGGGGGCTACTCTTCGTTGGCAGTGCGCGGGCTTCTCATTGCGGTGGCTTCTCTTGTTGCGGAGCACGGGCTCTAGGCGTGCGGGCTTCAGTAGTTGTGATACACGGGCTCAGTAGCTGTGGCTCGTGGGCTCTAGAGCTCAGGCTCAGTAGTTGTGGCACACGGGCTTAGTTGCTCTGTGGCATATGGGATCTTCCCGGGCCAGGGCTCGAACCTGTGTCCCCTGCATTGGCAGGAGGATTCTTAACCACTGCGCCACCAGGGAAGCCTCTATAGGCAACTTTTTTTTTTTTTTTTTGCGGTACGCGGGCCTCTCACTGTTGTGGCCTCTCCCGTTGCGGAGCACAGGCTCCAGACACGCAGGCTCAGCGGCCATGGCTCACGGGCCCAGCCGCTCCGCGGCATGTGGGATCCTCCCGGACCGGGGCACGAGCCCGTGTCCCCTGCATCGGCAGGCGGACTCCCAACCACTGCGCCACCAGGGAAGCCCAGCAACCGTTTTTATTTCTGCTTTATCCTGCAAAAATAAGCACACACGCATATATTTGTAACTAGCCCATGGAAAGGATCCTCTGATTAGCTACCTCTACTTTTAGGTGTTTTCGGCTTTGAAACTAAAAAATGTAAAGTGAATTTCAGAAAATGTGGGTTTTGGATGCCTCCTTTCTACCCCTCATCATCCTCTCCCTCCAGTCTCTGCTCATAATTTAGGATCGCCGTGCTCACTGTTCAAGTGTACCTGTATTTTCTTAATCTCCTCAGTGCTTCAGAGCGGTCCTCTAGCTATCAAGAGATGAGTGGGGCTGAGTGAGACGGGGCACCCTTCGCCCTGGGGGCCAGGGGCTGCGGGCAGCACCCACAACAAGGAAACTGATGGGATTTGTTCTAGAAGGACCGTTTCCCTTATTGTCATTGATTGCCCTATTTAATACTCATGCTGATTGATTTTATTTTAGACTAAATCTGATTTGCTGGAGAACAGAAGCAGAACCACGGAAAGGCTGGTTCCAGATGCCGTCCAGACGCACAGTGAATAGGTAGCCCTCGCCTTTCAAGGCCAGAGTAGCCTCCAAAGTTTTAGGACAGGTGACAAAAACCAAATTGTTATTCACACACATAGAAAATTATCAACAATACCTCAGCAACATAATCCTTTTGTGGTTGGAAAACTAAAGCTAACGTGCTTTTTTGTCTTTTTAAAACTTTGGTGCTAAAGTAGTAGAAAACTTATTTTCTTTAGTAGTAAAGCTGCCAGAGCAAATGACAGCACTTTCCTAAAACAGAGACAACAGGGACTTCCCCGGCAGTCCAGTGGTTAAGGCTGCATGCTTCCAATGCAGGGGGCCCTGGTTCCACCCCTGGGCAGGGAACTAGATCCCCCATGCTGTGCGGTGTGGCCAAAAAAAAAAGAAAAAGAAACATCAGTGTTATCTATGATTTTGAAATAATATGTACGAAACTAGCCCAGTAGTAGAGAAATACATAAAATAGAAGGTGAAAGTCTCTCCTGATGACCACGTTCCAGATGCACGCTCACATGTGTGGGTGCGTTTACACCCCGGGCCCGCCTGACCCTCCCATCTGTGCCGAGGGCAGTGGGGTGGGGCCTCCCTCCTGCTGGGATGGTCCTTGCCTGTGTCACGATAGTTTCATGAGGTGTTTTTTTGTGTGTGTGTTTTTTTAAAGTTGGAAAAAATATTTTATTTTATATATTTATTTATTTTGGCTCCGTTGGGTCTTCGTTGCTGCACGTGGGCTTTCTCTACTTCTGGCGAGCAGGGGCTACTCTTCGTTGCGGTGCGCGGGCTTCTCATTGCAGTGGCTTCTCTTGTTGCAGAGCACGGGCTCTAGGCGTGCAGGCTCAGTAGTTGTGGCTCGCGGGCTTTGTTGCTCCACAGCATGTGGGATCTTCCCAGACCAGGGCTCAAACCCATGTCTCCTGCATTGGCAGGTGGATTCTTAACCACTGCGCCACCAGGGAAGCCCCTCATGAGGTTTTTAAAAACCTTTTTATTTTAAAGTATAGCACAGGGGGACTTTCCTGATGGTCCAGTGGTAAAGAATCCACCTTACAATGCAGGGGACTCAGGTTCGATCCCTGGTCAGGGAACTAAGATCTGACATGCCACGGGGCAACTACTGAGCTCGTGCTCCTCAACTAGAGAGCCTGCGTGCCGCAGACTATAGAGCCCACGCACCCTGGAGCATGCGCGCCACAACTAGAGATGAGAAAACCCGCACACCACAACTAGAGAGAAGCCTGTGCGTCGCAACGGAAAAGATCCTGCATACCTCAACAAAGATCACGCGTGCTGCAACTAAGACCCGACACAGCCTAAGATAAAAATAAAGTATGGCACAGAGACAAACTGCGTAAATTAATAGCTTGATGGATTTTGATAAGGTGGACACTTGTAACCATCCCTTGGGTCAAGAGAGAAAATTTTGCCCTCCCTGGCATCCTTCCACGTGCCCTATCCCAGCCACATCCCTCCCTTTGGTGCCAGATACTTCCCTTTCTTCGTAGTTTTATGACGGGATTGCACGTCTTTAAGCAGTAGTTAAGTGTTGCCTGTTTTTCACGCGACGTTTCAGTCCCTTACCTACAGGGCACCCCCTCCTCCCGTGGGAGTTTGGTGTGGAAGAAGCCAGGTGGCTGCGCTCGTGTTTCTCAGTCTGGATTTTGCCAGCCACGGCCTCAGGTGTGGTTTAATGTTTGCCTGCTCTTGGTTCCTTTAAATTGGTGGTGGATCTAAGGCCTGATGAGGTTCAGCCTCCTTCCTGGCTGCTGTGATGCTCCCTTAGGAAGGACCTCGTGTGTGAGGCTCTCGCTCTCTTTGCTGTTGGCAGCCAGCGATGCACAGACCTGCAGGCTTTAATCAGTAAAAGTTATGGGACAGGGACGTTCCAGCTCAGTTACTGCGTCTTTGTTCACGAGCTGGGCTTGGAGTAAGAGGACCCTGTCCTTAGCTCCTCCGTGGTTATCTGGTGCTGTAGTTTATGTAGGAAACTGAAGAAGAATGCTTGCTTCTGTATCAGTTTCCCATCATCCGCCAAAGGTGACCAATTGAGCATTTTATTTCGGTGTTATGCACTCATAGATTTAACATATTTGATGTGCTTTAATGCATTATTATGACGGTCCTTATTTACGTTCAAATTATCTCATTTTTTTGGACAGTGGGAGCCCTTACAAGTTGGCGCCTAGATCCTTCTGACACAATTCTCGTCCTCTCTCAGAGGTTCCTTGCTCTCTGGTGTGCCAGAATATTCTAGGCTCATTTTGTATTCTTCCTGCCCAAGACCTGCAATCAGCCATTCCTTCAAAAGCCCTGGTCTTCTTTAATGGGAAATGATGTTTCACAACTATAGTCTGGATGTCAGGTAAGCTCATTCCCATTGGGTTGGTCACTGTTTTTAGGTCTTTGCAGTGAGCAGAGCTGGGGTAGGTGTCCTGCTCACCGACTGTAGGATGTGCATTTGACCTTTCTTGCCCTGGGTCTCTGTCTCTGTCTGAGGATGCTGGTTCTCAAGGACATGGGAGGTGAGAGTCTTGTGCTATTGCTGGTCACTCCTCTGCTTCACTCTCACTGTACACACCTCAGTCTCCGAGTAACAGTGGCTGTGTCGTTACTGAAAACAGGTTGATACTTTTTGCCAAAGACTTCGCATTGTCTTCCCATCCCTCTTTGCAGTGATTGGGGCTCTACGTGGAAGCGCGGTGACCATTGCCTACTGTGCTCTATCCCGGAGACCCTCACTCGGTCTTAGTCCTGCGAGGAAGTGTATACTGAGCACTCACACGGTCCTTTGATCAGTGTTTCTCTAGACTTTTTGGTTGAGGTTCGTTCTCTGTTAGATTTCTCTGGGAGGACTCAAGGAAAAATATTTCCTGAATTCTTGCACGTTGATAATAGTTTTTCTGTGTCTCTTATACTTGTAAGCCAGGTTGACTGGATATAAAATGCTTGGCTCACATATTTTTTCCTCAGATATCTTAAATATGTTATTCTGTTGTCTTATAGCATAAAACACTGCTGTCAAACTCATGACAATTTTATTTTCTTTCCCTTATACGTGACCTTGGTTTTCCCCTCAATGGCATTTCTTTTTTTTTTAAGTCCAGTGGTTTTCCTAGAATATACCTCAGTGTTAATTGTTAAGGATGGATTTTCTCAGCTTTACGATATGCTCTTTCAATATACGTAGTTTTACAATTTTTATTTCAAAGTGTTTAGTGTTCTCTTCTTTTGCTTTGTGCCCTCCTTTTTCTGTGGGGGATGCTCTGATTATACATGTGTTGGATCTTCTTTGCGTGTGTTTTCAATTGGCCAGCTTCTCCTGAGTCTTTTTTAGCTCTTCATTTCTTCTTCATTAAAAAACTTTATTTTCTAAACTCTTCTATCTTAAGAAATCATCTGTGGGGTTTATTTGTTCTTATGTTGCTTCTAGTTTAGTCTTTATTCTTAAAATGGCATTTTACTTTTTGTTTTTGAGCGTGTGTGTTTATTTTGCTGAAGATTTCAGGTTACAGGAAGGCCGTATACACAGCCCACGGCCACCACCCACCCTTTTTGCTGGCTTCGTTCTCTTGTTTGAACAGATAGGGCTCTTTCTCTTCCTTCCCCCTCCAACTTTCCCCTTTTTCTCTCCTAGCCTCATGATTTGCAATTTGTAAAATGACATTTTACTTTTATTTGTAATATTTTCTTAGGATCCATAACCTCATTTCAGTGTTTTTCTATTCTGATTTATTTTGTTCTTTTGTATTATTTTCTTAATTTCTTTAGCTTCTTTTGAAATAAGTTATAGTTTTCATGTAATTTGTGCTTATATTTTTCTAGTGTGCTTTCATTATCTATAGAGATGTTTTTCTGGTCTTCATTTTTTTTTTTCTCTCTTATCCTTTTGTAGGATTTGACCTTAATTCTTTTCTGTTGCTTATTGTTTTAGTTTTCTAGTGCTGCTTTAACAAATTATCACAGAGTGGTTGAAAACAGCATAACTTTGGAGGTCAGAAATCTGAGATGGGTCTCACTGAGCTTAAATCAAGATGTTGGCAGGCTGCCTTTCTTTCTGGAGGCTCTAGCAGTGAATGCTTCCTTGCCTTTTACACTTTCTAGAGGCTGCCTGTGTCCTTGGATGTGGGCCCCCCCCATCTTCAAAGCCAGCAACACTGCATCTGTCTGACCTTGTGAAGTCTCTCTTCTGCCTCTTTTTCCCACTTTTAAAGGTCCTTGTGATAACATTGGGTCCACCCAGATAATCCAGGATAGTCTTCTTATTATCCTGGATCAGTAACCTTAATTCCATCTGCATCCTTATTAATAATCCTACTTTGCTGTGTAACCTAACACAATCACAGGTCTGAGGATTAGGACGTGCACTTCTTTGAGGACCGATTACTCTGCCTGCCATACTCATTTTTATCTGATAACTAGTTTTGTTTTGTCTTTTAAATAAATGTATTTATTTATATTTTATTTTTGGCTGCATTGGGTCTTTGTTGCAGCGAGCAGGGGCTACTCTTCATTGTGGTGCACATGCTACTCATCACGGTGGCTTCTCTTGTTGTGGAGCACAGGCTCTAGGTGCACGGGATCCAGTAGTTGTGGCTCACGGGCTCAGTAGTTGTGGCTTGCGGGCCCTAGAGTGCAGGCTCAGTAGTTGTGGCTCACAGGCTCGGTAGTTGTGGCTCGCAGGCTCAGTAGTTGTGGCTCGTGGGGCTTAGTTGCTCCGCGGCATGTGGGATCTTCCTGGACCAGGGCTTGAACCCATGTCCCCTGCACTGACAGGCGGATGCTTCACCCCTGCACCATCAGGGAAGTCCTGATACTAATTTTTCACATTCAAGAAGGAGAGGTGGCTGAGGATGACTTGTCCTAACTCATGGTGCTTCCTATTCTGCAGCCTTTATCTACTACTGAAAAGGTGGCGGCTTCCACTTTCATGTTTTACATTGTGTATCTAGGAATATCTGTAGTTTTCTTGTTATGTCTTTGGCTTTGGTACCCAGGTGATACTGACCTCTTAGAATAAACTGGAAAGTATTCTATCCTCTTTCAAAGAGTTTATGGAGTATTGATATCATTTCTTCTGTAAATGATAAAATTCACCAGTGAGGCCATCTGGGCCCACATTTTTCTTCATGGGAAAATTTTAAGTTACTAATTCAATGTCTTTACTTGCTATAGGTCTATTCTGATTTTGTTACTTCTTGAGTCACTTTAGTTAATTTGTTACTTTGTAGGAATTTTTCCATTTCATGTAAGTTGTTGAATTTGTTGGTAGACAGTTGTTCATGGTCCTGTCTTACATTTCAGTTAGTTACTTTTTTTTGTTGTTTTAAGGTTTTTTGATGTGGACCATTTTTAAAGTCTTTATTGAATTTGTTACAATATTGCTTTCTGTTTTATGTTTTGGTTTTTTGGCCGTAAGCCATGTGGGATCTTATCTCCCTGACCAGGGATCAAACCCACCCCCCCTGCACTGGAAGACAAAGTCTTAACCACTGGACCGCAGGGAAGTCCCTCATTTAGTTTCTGAGGAGGCAGTGGTAATGCTCCCAGGTTTTCGCAATCTATGTCTTCTTTTTCTCTTGGTTAATGTAGCTAGGGATTTGTCAATTGTGTCAGTGTTTTCAAAGAACCAACTTTCAGTTTCATTGAAGTTCTATATCACTTTTCTGTTTTCTATTCCATTAACATCCACTCTAATCTTTATTATTTCCTTTTTCCTACCTTGGTTTGGTCTGTTCTTTTTCTAGTTTGCTTTTGTTTTCTTTTTATCTGGAGGTGAATGTTTACATTATTGATTTGAGATCTTTCTTCTTTTTTAATATAGGTATTTAAAGCTATAAATTTCTCTCTGACCACCAATTTAGCTGCATCTCATGTATTTTGGTTTGTTGTGTTTTTATTTTCATTCAGATGAAAATACTTTCTAATTTCCCTTGTAGTTTCTTTTTGACCTGTGGGTTATTTAGAAATGTGTTATTATTTCCAAATATTTATTGATGTTTCAAATTTTCCTCTGTTACTGTCTTGTAATTTAACTTCATTCTGGTTGAAGGATATGTTTGTATCATTTCAGTTCTTTTAAATTTATTAATACTTGTTTTATGGCCCAGCCTCTGGTCTGTACTGTGGAATGTGTTGTGTGCAGTTGAAAAGGGTAAGTATTGTGCTGCTGTTGGATGGAGCCCTGTGTAGATCTGCCAGTTCAAGCTGGTTAACAGCACTGTTCAGGTCGTCTGTATCCTCACTGACTTTCTGTCTTGCTGTTCTAGTTGGCCTCCCTTCAGGTTTGCTGATTCTTTCTTCTGCTGGCTACCACGCCCCTCTAGTGAATTTTTAATTACAGTTATGCATTTCAGCTCCATAATTTCTAATTTCATAATTGGTTCTTTTTCATAATTTTTCTCTCTATACTGATACTTACTTGGGGAGATATTGTCCTGCTTTCCTGTAGTGTCTTTATATGTGGTTTCCTTTAGTTCTTTCAGCTTATTAGAGTAGCTGATTTAAAGTCTTTGTCTAGTAAGTCCAACCTCTGGACACCCTCAGGAACAGTGTCTTGGTTTATCTTTCCATGTGTGGGCCATACTTCCCTGCTTTTTTTTTGCGCGTCTTGTCATTTTTTCGTTTTTGTGGAAAACTGGACATCATTTGTTATTGCTGAGGGTTTGTTCTGTTTTTGCCTGTTTGTTCCCTTAGTGACCTTCCTGGACTAATTCTGAAAAGACTGTACTCCTTGCAGTGTTTGGACACTTCAGTCTCTGCCTGGTTAGCTTGGTGTCAGTGATTTCCTGAAATCCACTGAGCTGAATGATTTCCTTAAACGCTGCCAACAGATGCACCTGCCATCTTTGCCAAGAGCTGCCTATGCATGTGCGTGTGTGTGGTGGGACAAGCATTAACCTTCTCCTTGCACAGGGCTTCAAGGTCAGCCAGAGGTGAGAGATGGGGTGGCCCCGCAGGTCTCTCCTGGGCTTGTTCTTCTACAGCTGCAGGGACGTGTCAGAGCCTTTCACAGCTCCCTGCAGACGTCTCGTCCCCCCCATCTTCCTTCTCAGCCTTTGGCCAGGCTCTTGTTTGCCCCACTGGAGTTGCAGGGTTAGGCAACTGTGATGTTACAGAAGTGCAGCTGTTTGCTTTTCAGCAGAAGCCCAGGGAGAGGGCTTTTCCCATTGAAGGCTCTGAATCGGGTCAAATAACTACCGTGCCCTGTGAGCAGGGCTTTTCCAGGGACCTGTGACAAAGGTCACATGGTGACAGTGCTGCAGACAGTGGGACTTTCTGAGGGACCGCAGGCCAGGTCTGCCCCTCTGGTGGCTGTAAGGCTGCTGTTCCTCACAGCTCCCGTGGTCCTGTGGTTCCTGTGGGGAAGGAAGGATGGGAGTGAAATGTTCTAACGAGCTCCCACAGTTCTTCTTAAATGCTCCTCAGATTGCTGCAAGCCTTTGCTTAACCCCCAGGGTTGTGAACAGTTTGATGTTGACACTGCCTAGCGCTGCCTTTGCTGTCCTGCAGCCACTGGGTCATGGAGGTCCTCACCTACCACTCTGAGCAGTGCCTGCGTCGTGAGAGTTCTCCTTCTCTACCCTTCCTTTGCTGTTTCTTTTGTCCCTGAACTGCTCAATTTAGAGTCTGTTCCCAGCAGTTCCTCTTTGAAATGGGTCTTTGTCCTGGAGGAGGCATGGGCTGGGTGGTTTTTCTCCAGCCTCTTTGGACCTTACGCTGGACCCCTGACATACGTCCACTCTGCTGAGTGCAGAGAGCCCCTCCCAGTCTCAGCAGCTTGGTCCTCGGGGCTTCCGGTGAGTACCTGTTGGCTCCTTTGGGACTATCCGTAACCACATGCCCAGGGCTGCTTTCTCTTTCCGCCTGTACAGATCTAGTACCGCATGGGCCGTGCATACATTCTTGGTTTGTCCTGTTGGCTTATATTTTGGAGGGAAGGAAATCCCTCGTCAGGTTTGTCTTCTTGTTGGTCTCATCCATGAGACTGTGGGTTTGCTCTTTTAGTTCTGTGCTGTATTGCCAACTGAAACAGTGAACTTAACTGAAGTTCAAGTGAACAAATAACTACACTTAAGGGAAAAAACTGACCCGAGAGACTTGGACACGGTGCTTGTTTGTATACCTCAAGCCCCAAGACAAAAAGTATAAACTGATATTTCTGTCCAGAAGCTTGTGCTTCCTCGGTGGTATGGGTCAGCGTTCTGAAAGTACTTTCTGAATATTGAAGGACTGAGCAAATGAGCAAGTCTTTTAAGGCTAGTGGGAGCCAGATTTCTTGCAATTGGAGAAAGAAGTTACAGATACGGAACTGGGGAGGCTCGGGTGATCCTGGGATGTTGGATTGAAATTGGAGGCGTCAGCGTGCACATGTGGTTTTTATCCACCTGTGCGTGTGCATGTAGGCGTACGTGTGTATTAATGGTTTTTACTTAATTCCATTGAAAGGGCCTAGAAACAAAGGCACCGCAGTGACAGCGGGCGCACCAAGCGCCTCACTCTTACCCACCATTACTGTTTTGTTAACTCTTGTCGTTTTCTGTGCGTCACTGAATTTCCAGGTGGGATTATTTCTGCCTGAAGAACACTCTTGCATTTGCTTCAGTACAGGTCACCTGGTGACACATTCTCTGTTTGATTTGTCTGACGGTGTTTTTATTTCATATTAATTCCTGCAGGAGTATTTTTGCTGAGTACTGAATTCTGGTTTGGCTTTTATTTTTTTCACAACTATGAAGATAGCATTCCTTTGTCTCCTGGTTTACGTTGCTTCTCTTGAAAGGTCAGTAGTCTGTCTAGTTATGTTTTCTTAAAATAATTCCTGTGGCAGTGGTGTAATATACACCAGCGTGATGACCTGTGCGTTCATCACCTGGCTTTAGCGGTTAGCAGCTCAGGGCTGCTCTTGTTTCATCTGTGTCCCTCCCCCACCCAGTTATGTTAGAGCAGGTACCAGAAACCATATTTCATCGGGATAGTTTTCAGTAAGTATCTTGAAAAGATGGGATTCTTTGAAACGTTTTATCTGCAGTATCTTTGTACCTTGATAAACGAAGAATTACTTAATATCGAATGTTACTTCAGTATCGAAGTTTCCCACATAGTCTAAAAAATGTTCTTATACAGTTTGCTAATTCAGACCAGGATTCAAGTATAATTTGTTAAAGAAGCTGGGTTGTGTGTCCTGTAGAGTTTCCCAGAGTCTGGATTTCGGTGGTATTTACATGTGCGCCTCCCTCCCTGGTCACTTTTATCTGCCTTATCTCTTGTTTTTAACACTGTTTGTTTCTTTTTCTTTAAATCTTGCTTGGGGTTTGTAGGGACTCTCGAATCTGTGCTCTGAAGTCTTTGATCTGAACTGCCTTTTTTTTTCCTGGTTTTTCTCTGTTGTGGTTTATCACAGCATACTGAATAGAGTTCCCCGTGCTGTACAGTAGGACCTTGTCGTTTATCCATCCTATAGATGCTAGTTTGCACCTGCTACTCCCAACCTCCCAATCCTTCCCTCCCCCGCCCGCCCTCCTCCTTGGCAACCACAGGTCTGAGTCTGTTTTGTAGATAAGTGCACTTGTGTCGTATTTTAGATTCCACATATAAGTGATCTCACGTGGTATGTGTCTCTGTCTCACTCACTCAGTGTGGTCATCTCCAGGTCCGTCCATGTCGCTGCACTCACAGCCACATCTCTTCTTCTTCCTGCACTCCTGTCTTCTGTGCACCGCTCTGGCCCCCCAGGGCTTCCAGTACTCACTTCTGCATGTGAGCAGTGGCCTGTCTCCACCCGCGTGCCCTGGACGTGTTTCTCACCCTCTCTAAACCTCAGGGTCCTCGTGTGTAGAAGGAGAAATCGCAAACTGAATCTTCCTCGAAAGATTTTCATGTGGTTTAAGTGAGACAACGCAGGTTGAACCCACGGTAAACAGTCACTGTTGGCTCTCCCATTCTCGTCACGCCGTGCTCTTGCCCCAGGAGCGTCTCCAGAGAGAGTCAGAGTCAACCGGGGATGTAATGTTTGCCATGAAGGGAGAAGAGCTGGTTTCTCCCAGACCCGGAGAGAGGAATGAGGACGAGGCTGCCCAGGACTGAGAAGACATCCGGGCACCGAGGCCGTAAGGGAAGGAGCTGCAGGGCAGAGTGACCTTGAGCCTGTGACCTTCCTAAGCATACTGAGGTCCAGCACTTCCTCACAGAGGCCTTATAACCTTTATTACATAGGGGACTGTGTCTTCTGTGACTAAAGCAGTGTGACCTTTCCTTCCTGACCTGCCTCTTGCCTGGACCCCCAGTGTGACACTGGGTGCAAGTGTGAGGTGGGGGTGGGGGGTCCTTGCCTCGTTCCTGAGCTTTCCCTGCCCAGCATGACGGTAACCGTAGAGTGCTCCTAAAAGCCCTCGTAAGGTTGAGGAAGTTCTCCTCTCTTCCTACCTTGCTGAGAGTTTCTGTCGTGAATAGGAATAGAAATGATGTTAAATGTTCTTCTGCATCTAATGACATGACTCTATGGTTTTCCTCCTTTTTTCCATTAATGTGGTGAATTCTGTTGGTTGAACATTGAAGGTTAAACCAGACATGCTTGTGGTGAACCCCTCTTACTCACGGTGTATTATCTTTAATGTGCTGAATTTGATTTGTTAAATTTTTAAGAACTTGCTACATTTTCTTAAGGTTTTTCTATGATCATAGGGGTATGAATCTGATTCTTGTCTTCTAATGTCTTTGCTTGTTTTAGAGTCAGGGTAATACTGCCTCATAAAAAAGACTTGGGACGTGTTCCTTCTATTTTCTGGAAGAGTTTGTGTTTCACCAGGTTTTTTCTCTTTAATGTTTGGTGAAATTCACCAGTGAAGCCATCTTGGCTTGGAAGTTTCTTTAAGGGAAGGTTTTTAATTACAAGTTCAGCTCTTAAAAGAGATAGAGGGCTGTTCAGGTTATCTCTTTCGTGAGTTTTTGTAATGTGTGTCTTTCCAGGATTTACCCGTTTCATCTAAGCTGCTGAATTTACCATCATAAAGTCACTCATCTATTTCCTTACTATCTTTTTGCATTTGTAAGATCTTTGGTGAAAAATCCCCTCTTTAGTTCCTGCTATAGGTAATTTTATGTCTTTACCATTGTTTTCTTTAATCAGTCTGTAGAAGTTTGCCAATTTTGTTGATCTGTCGAAAGAACCGGTGTTAGGTTTCATTGATTTTTTTTTTTTCCTCCCCTGCCGCTTCCCCCACGCCCCCAATTTCAGTGATTTCAAATCTTTTCTTTATTGTGTCCTTCCCTTTGTTTGCTTTGGGATTAAATTTGCTTTACTTTTCCTTGTGATTTTTTTTCTTTAACCCTCGGCTTAATATAGAAGTGTGATTTATTTGAAGATATTTAGGATTTTTCCAGATGTCATTCTGATGTCGATTTCTCATTCAGTTCCCTTATTGTCAGAGACCATTCTTTGTTTGATTTCAGCTCTTTTCAATGTACTGAGATTTGCTTTACTGTCCAGAGAACAGTCTGTCTTGATGAATGTTTTGTGTCCACCTTTAAGTGATATTCCGTTGTTGTTTGGACTGTTCCATAAATGTCATTTAGGTCAAGCTGATGATAGTGATTTAAAGTCTTCCGTTATCTTTACTGCTGTTCTGTCTAATTGTTCAGTTAACTACTGAATGGGGGTGTGAAATCCCATCTGTAATTTTGGTCAAGTCTCCCTTTAGGTCTGTCAGGTTTGCTTCATGCATTTGGAAAGTCTGTTGGTAGCTGTGTGCATGTCTGATGAACTGACCCCTTTGTCATCCTTCTGTGTTGTTCTTACATCCCCACCTCACGCTGACTTAGGCACGCCAGCTTGCTCCTGGTTGGTGTGAGTGTGCTGCACCTTTTCTGTCCTTTTGCTTTGAACCTATTTGTGTCTTGATGTTTAACGTGTTTTTTGTAGGCAGCATATAGTTCGTCTTAGTTTTTTACCCAACCTGACAATCCCTGCCTTTCTTAAAATACAACTTTGTTGGTTGTGTAGGCTGTGTCCTGTGTCTTCTTTCCTCTGATGCTCTCCTCCCAGAATGCTTCACGTCTGGCCACCGATATGTGGTCTTGTGTCCACACTGGCCATTCTCCAGCACCAGCTGGCTGTCCCTCAGTTCAGTTCTGACACCACCAGCTGAAGTCATCCTCAGATCCCCCGGGTCAGGGCCCAGTCCCACAAGACCGCTCCCATTCAGACACCAACCCCAGTTGTCCCCTGTATTTCTGACCAACCGGCTTAAGTCTGGGTTCCCACAATAAAGTGCTAGGGTGGCTCACAGAACTCAGGGAACCCTTACTGACATGTATTGGTTTATTGTAGGAAAAGGATACGATAAGGGACACAGGTGAACAGCCACGTGAAGATGCACAGGGCGAGGTCTGGGAGGGTCCTGAGTGCAGGGGCTTCTGTCCTCCTGGAGTTGGGGTGCGTCACCCGCCCGACACGTGGTTGTGTTCACTAGCCCAGCAGTTCCCCTAACCCCCGGACCATTGGGATTCTATAGTGGTTTCATCACATGGGCGTGGTCAGTATTAACTCAGTCTCCAGCCCATCCTGGGGGGTGGGGGGGTGGCTGAGAGTTCCAAGTTTCTGGCCGCGGCTCTTTCTGGTCATGGGCCTCCATCCAGGAGTCACCTCGTTAGAACAAGAGATGTTCCTGTCACTCAGGAACTGCCAAGGGTTTTAGGAGCTCTGTGTCAGAAACTGGGGGCACAGACCAGTGTACATACATCTTTCATACTTTTTCACATTGGGTGTAATTGACATACAATAAACTGCACTTATTTAAAGGGTACAATTTGTTCAATATACACACACACTTATATCATGTTTATATACATAAACAGTTTGCTGCCAACATTTGTGGACAAATCATATGAGCATAGGCACTCACATGCAACTAATTTTCAGCAAAGTTACAAAGGCATCCTTTTGTTGAGAAGGATGGTCTTTTCAACAAATGGTGTTTGAACAATTAGATATTCATATGCAAAACAATGAATTTGAATCTTTCAAAGATCTAAGTATAAAATATAAAACTTCTAGAAAACACAGGAGAAAATCTTTCTTAGATACAACCCCAAAAGTACAGTCCATGAAAGAACAAATTGGTAAATTGGACTTCACTAAAATTAAGGGCATTTCTTTTCCAAAAATACTGTTAAGAGAATGAAAAGACAAGCTACAGACTGGAATCATATACCTGATAAAGGGCTTCTTTCCAGGCATGTAAAGAACTCTAAGAAAATACACAGTCTGTGAAAACGTGGGCAAAACACGTGAACAGATGCTTCACCAACGGAGAGAAGCAAATGGCAAATACACACATAAAATGTTCAACATTATCAGTCATTAAGGAAATTGCCAATTAAGGCCGGAATAAGATACCTTTACATACCTATTAATTAGAAGGGCTAAAATTAGATGGATGGACCTTACCAAGTCTTAGTATTTTCTCTTTACCATCTTTTTCTCACTTTTTGGATATATAGTAATGTGTATATGTTACTCCCAAATTCCTGATTTTCCCTCCCCCCTACCTTTCCCCTTTGGTAACCATAAGTTTGTTTTCTATGTCTGAGAGTCTATTTCTGTTTTGTAAATAAGTTCATGTGTTTCATTTTTTTAGATTCCACATATAAGTGATATCTTACGATATTTGTCTTTCTCTTTCTGACTTCACTTAGTATGATAATCTCTAGATCCATCCATGTTGCTCCAATGGCATTATTTTATTCTTTTTTATGGCTGAGTAATGTTCCATTGTGTATGCGTACCACATCTTCTTTATCCATTTTCTGTCAATGGACATTTAGGTTGTTTCCATGTCTTGGCTACTGTAAATAGTGCAGCTATGAACATTGGGATGCATGTATCTTCACCTATGGTTTTCTCTGGGTATATGCACAGGAGTGGGATTGCTGGATCATATGGCAACTCTATTTTTAGCTTTTTTTTTTTTTTTTTTTTTTTTTGTGGTACGTGGGCCTCTCACTGTTGTGGCCTCTCCCGTTGCGGAGCACAGGTTCCGGATGCGCAGGCTCAGTGGCCATGGCTCACAGACCCAGCCGCTCCACGGCATGTGGGATCCTCCCGGACCGGGGCACAAACCCATGTCCCCTGCATCGGCAGGCGGGCTCTCAACGCCTGCGCCACCAGGGAAGCCCTATTTTTAGCTTTTTAAGGCACCTCCATACTGTTCTCCATAGTGGCTGCACCAATTTACATTCCCACCCACAGTGTAGGAAGGTTCCCTTTTCCCCACACCCTCTCCAGCATTTATTATTTGTAGACTCTTTGATGATGGCCATGCTGACAGGTGGGAGGTGGGACCTCACTGTAGTTTGAGTTGCGTTTCTCTAACAATTGGTGACGTTGAGCAGCCTTTCACGTGCCGTTTGGCCATCTGTATGTCTTCTTGGGGGATTATGTCTATTTAGAGGGTATTTTCATTGTGTAACTGGTTTGTAAAAAAAGTCAAGGAACAAACTTTTCTGTTTTAATTTCCCATTACGGAATTCCTTTCTATGCATACATTGAGGCTCGTATATCCATGACAGTGTAGATTTGAAGCGTGACTGAGTCCAGTGTCTGACTTGATCTCCTCTTCTGTAGATAACGCAGAAGGATCGCTGTGCCACCAAGATGACGGCGATCCTGCGTCTGAGACAAGCAGGTCCCCGCTGCGCGAACGCGTGTCTGCACCGTGGAGTGTTTAAGAGTAGAACTTCTGGAAGGCAGCGGTCCGCACCCTGATGACGTGCTCACCAGTTCCCTGATCTACTCCTCAGTGAGATTTATGATTGGCCATATTCATAAACATCCCGGAAGATAGGATTCTCCTGAAAGAACTGAAGATAATGTACATTTGGGGGCACAAAGGAGCATTTGCATCAGTTTTCTACCAACGCAGGCGGTCAGCATCGTGAGGCAGCCAGAATAGTTATGGTCAGTCATGGAGAATCACCAGGAGACGCGTCCCGAAGCGGGTGGGGATTTTGTTTCTGATCAAATACATTTTAAAATAGAAGAGGAAGATGACGATCACATCGCTGATCACAGTTTGGAAAGAATGGACTTTAGAAATGAGCAGGAGAACAGGAAACGGGCTGGCAGCGGGGATGAACGGGCAGAGGGCAGAGAGGCGAGCTGTGGCTGCCAGCCCCCGGGGAGGCGCGTCTCTCCTGACCCCGAGGACGACTACGGGGCCCTATTGTCACAGTATAACAGCACGCTGTACAGCGTGGCCATGGAGGCCGTGACGCAGAGCCTGCTCTCCGGCCGCGGCATCAGCTCCAGGAAGAAGTCCCCGGCTTGGAAGCATTTTTTCATCTCACCCCGGGATAGCACGAAGGCCATCTGTACGTACTGCATGAAGGAGTTCAGCAGGGGCAAGAACGAGAAGGACCTGAGCACCAGCTGTCTGATGCGGCACGTGAGGCGGGCGCACCCCACCGTTCTTGTGGAGGAAAACGGCAGCGCGCCGGCCCCGGCCCCCCTCCCTGCCCCTCTGCCGCGGCTCCCGCCGCCACCCACTGATGCCGGAGACCCGGGCACCGTCCTGTCACCTGGCAAACTCGTCCCCAGAACGGCCTCTAAGAGCCCATCTCCCCATCAGGTGACAGAGGAACTTGGCTCTGTGGTTTCTTCCGAAGAGGCCCCCTCCGACGTGTCAGTCTCTGAGAGGTACAGCAGGGATGAAGCCCTGGCGGGGCCGCCTCCCCAGCCCCCCAGCCTCCACTGCGACGAGCCTGCAGAGAACGGGGCTGAGAAAAACCTCCCCCTGCCCAGGAGCGCATCCGGGTCCAGGAGGAGGTCTGCCGTCTGGAAGCACTTCTACCTGTCGCCCCTGGACAACTCCAAGGCCGTGTGCATCCACTGCATGAACGAGTTCAGCCGGGGCAAGAACGGGAAGGACCTGGGCACCAGCTGCCTCATCAGGCACATGTGGCGGGCACACCGCTCCATCGTGCTTCGGGAAAACGGCGGGGGCGCTGGCGTGCCGCCCCCCTACTCTGCACCCCCAACCCTGCTGCCCACCCCGCCGCCGCCTGACGGAGAGCCCAGCCCCACGTCCTCGTCTCCGGGGAAGCCGGTGCAGGACTCCACCTCTGCGCCCTCCTCCCCCGACCGGCTGGTGGAAGACCCGCCAGCACACTGGAACCTCGGAGACTCACAGGTGGAAGACGCGTGGGCATTGTCCTCCTCCTCTGACGTGGGTGAGGCCTCATGGGCATCCTCTCCCGAGAAGCAGCCAGGCGACACGCCCAGCCCTCGCCCACTCGAGTCCGGTGCCGTGTTCCAGCAGAACAAGAAGGTCATGAGGAGGCTGAAGTCGGAAGTCTGGCATCACTTCTCGCTGGCCCCCACGGACAGCCTCAAGGCTGTGTGCAGGCACTGTGGCTGCGTCATCAGCCGGGGCAAGAAGGGAGACGTGGGCACGAGCTGTTTGATGCGGCATCTCTACAGGCGCCACCCGGAGGTTGTTGGGAACCAGAAGGGCTTTCTGGGGGCCAGCCTGGCGAATTCGCCATACGCCACCTTGGCTTCTGCAGAAACGTCCTCCTCCAGATTAACTGACCTGCCGACCATGGTCACAAAAAGCAATCAAGTTATGTTTCCCGTCAACAGCAAAAAGACCTCCAAGTTGTGGAATCACTTTTCTATCTGCTCCGCAGACCCCACGAAGGTCGTGTGCTTGCACTGTGGCCGGACGATCAGCAGAGGCAAGAAGCCGACCAACCTGGGCACCAGCTGTCTCCTGAGGCACCTGCAGAGGTTCCACGGCGGCGTGCTGAAGCCCGACGCCCCCAGGACGGCGCCACCCTCCCCTCCTGGTGCCCGTGGGCCCCTGAGCTCAGAGTCGGCAGGCGCCTCCTCCTGCGATGACACCAGCGAGAAGTTTTATGATTCGCATCCAGTTGCCAAAAAAATAACAAGTCTCATTGCTGAAATGATCGCACTTGACCTCCAGCCGTACTCGTTTGTGGACAACGTTGGCTTCAACAGGCTGCTCGGATACTTGAAACCTCAGTACTCTCTGCCCCCTCCGTCCTACTTCTCCAGGACGGCCATCCCAGGTATGTACGACAATGTGAAACACATCATCATGTCACATCTCCAGGAAGCCGAGAGCGGTGTGGTCCACTTCACGTCTGGAATCTGGATGAGCAGCCAGACCCGGGAGTACCTGACCCTCACCGCCCACTGGGTCACCTTTGAGTCGTCGGCCCGACCGCACCGCGAGGACCACCACTGCTCGGCGCTGCTGGACGTGTCGCAGGTCGACTGCGACTACAGCGGCGGCAGTGTCCAGAAGCAGCTGGAGTGCTGGTGGGAGGCCTGGGTGACGTCCACTGGCCTGCAGGTGGGCATCACAGTCACCGACAGCCCCAGCATAGGGAAGGCGCTGAACGAGGGGGCCCGCTCGAGCGTGCAGTGCTTCAGTCACACGGTCAGCCTCATCGTCAGCGAGGCCATCAAGAGCCAGAGGATGGTCCAGAACCTACTCAGCACCGCACGGAAAATATGCGAACGGGTCCACCGGTCGCCCCGGGCGAAAGCGAAGCTGGCAGAGCTGCAGAAGGAGTACGAGCTGCCGCCCCACCACCTCCTCCAGGACGTCCCGTCCAAGTGGAACACGTCGTTTCACATGCTGGAGCGGCTTATCGAGCAGAAGAGGGCGGTGAACGAGCTGTCTGTCGAGTGTAACTTCCGGGAGCTCATCAGCTGCGACCAGTGGGAGGTGATGCAGTCCGTGTGCCGTGCGCTGAAGCCCTTCGACGCCGCCAGGCGGGAGATGAGCACCCACGAGTCCACGCTCAGCCAGGTCATCCCCATGATCCACATCCTCAACAGGAGGGTGGAGATGCTGTTTGAGGAGACCATGGGCATCGACACCATGCTCAAGTCCCTCAGGGAGGCCATGGTGAGCCGCCTGTCCGCCACCCTCCACGACCCCAGGTACGTGCTGGCCACCCTGCTGGACCCGCGCTACAAAGCCTCCCTCTTCTCCGAGGAGGAGGCGGAGCAGTACAAGCAGGACTTGATCAGGGAACTAGAAACGCTGAATTCTACCTCAGAGCCCACGCCCGTCTCCAACGGATGCGACCCGGGCTCCCCACCGCGAGACTGTGCCGGCGAGGAGAGCCTGTGGTCACTCATGGCCAAGATGAAGAAGACCGAGCCCAGAGGGAGGACGAAGGTCCCGGAGGACATGGTGCTCGCGTACCTGGAGGAGGAGGTGCTGGAGCACAGCTGTGACCCGCTCGCCTACTGGAACCTGAAGAGGGCGGCCTGGCCGGGCCTCTCCACCTTGGCCGTGCGGTTTCTGGGCTGCCCCCCGAGCATCGTTCCCTCCGAGAGGCTGTTCAGCACACCCACTGAGAACGGCAGCTTTGGCCAGTCCCGGCTCACGATGGAGCATTTCGAGAAACTTATTTTTCTGAAAGTGAATCTTCCCTTAATATGCTTCCAGTATTGACGCTCACGGTGGAGCCACCGGACGAGTAGCAGCACCGGCCCCGGGCTGGCGGCTCGCTGCGGTCGGGGCCCTGCGGGACAGCAGGCCGGGCGCTCAGGTCCACATCCACGGGAGGTTCCCGTCCCGGCCCTCGCCGTCACGTCCACATGTGCCTTACCCAGTCCTTCAGGCCAGGTACCACGGTGTGTTTTTTAAGAAGTCCAGTAGAAACAGCCTGTCTTGTCAGTTATGAAATACAATGATTAGGTTTTCATTCATAACTGTAAAATTGTTTAAAAGTTGGGGGTTAGGAGTTTGTTTTACTAGAATGGCGGAGGAGATATAAGCAGTTTTATTCAGTAGGCTTCTTATTGGATTATGTAAAAACCACAAATCAGGTACTGTACTTTAGTTTAAAATTGCTTTAGTTGCAACAAAACCGCTCTTGTGGCTGTCAGACAAAACCTGTGTACAGGAGGTGGAGTTCAAGCCATCCCGACCGAGCAGTTCCTGGCTGCGGGCTCCAAAGTACGTTCAGGGGACGGTGAGTGTTCTGGGAGGTGACTGTTTACACGACAGAGACGTGGCTTTCGAAGACAAGCCTGCACTCACACGTATCCCGGAATGTCAGTCATGTAGGGTTCAGGGGAGAGAGCACTGCCGTTTCAGGGGTTTGCCCTCGGTGCCACGTGGGCTGTTAGCTCGGACACATCCCCGCCATTCACAGCGAGCGCCGGCGGTGCCTGCTGTGTAGCTAGTGCACAGCGTGACGCGTTTACAGCATCCTGTTGATGGAATCTCCAAGCCTCTGGCTCAGTGGCTCTACACCATGAAGCTGTCTTGAAATTTGTGCACTGACCCCCAATTTGATCAAATTATGTATACAGTCCTTTTAGAAGAGGTGGCTTATTAACAGGGAAGAAGATTGCTATAATACAGTTGTAAGAATAGCCTTAGGTGTTTAGATTTTCTTTTTGATAATAGGGAAGATTCAGCCATCAATGGGATATTTTAGAATCCCAAGGACATCAAAATGGAGTATCAGTCATCAGGTTTTTTTAACAATAATACGTCTTCAAAGTTTTTGCCTCAGTGTCTAGAAAAGGGTTCATTTTCTTATTTCGAACCAGGTAAATATTCTGGGTGAAACAAGTCACTGATTTGCCTGTGACCTTTTAGAAAAGTTGTCGTTTTGTTAAAATACTGTACCTGTTATTAATCTGAATTTGCATTGACTACGTTTTAGTGTATTTATAAATGGTGAACCCAGTTTCTGAAATTAAACTTTTTATTTGCAATTTTCTACTGCTGGAGGACACTGGCTTTTTATTCTTAGGATAATAAAACAGTCCTACTCTTGGGGGCCAACATACACAGAAACCACATTCATGCAGCCTTTGGACTTTCACCTTAGCCCCAGGTGGGACCCAGGGGAAGTGGAGGAGTAATTCTTACAACAGCATTTCTGATAGCGGCAGTGATGTATGAGAACTTTCCGGGTCTTGTGTTCAGAGCAAGTGCTGTGCAGCCTGTGGTGCTGGAGGGGAAGAGCAGCCGCTGTGGAAAAGAGTATGGAGGCTCCTCAGAACATCACATGCTACCGTATGACCCAGCATCCCACTCCTGGATATTTTCCTGAAGGCAAAAACACTAATTTGAAAAGATATATGTACCCCCATGTTCATAGCAACATTATTTATGATTGCAAGATATGGGAGCAACCCAAGTGTCCCTCAACAGATGAATGGATAGAGAAGATATGGTGTGTATATATATATACAATGGAATATTACTTAGCCATAAAAAAAATCTTGCCATTTGCAACAAAATGGATAGATCTGGAGAGTGTTAATGCTAAGTGAAATAAGTTGGACAGAGAGAGACAAATACCACATGATTTCACGCAAATGTGGAATCTAAAAACAAAATGAAACAGGAACACACTCATAGATACAGAGAATAAACTGGTAGTTTCCAGAAGGGAGAGGATGAGGGATGAGTGAAACAGGTGAGGGAGAGGAAGAGGCACAAACTTCCACTGACAGAACGAGCCACCAGGTTGTAATGTACACCATAGGGCATATAGTCAGTAATATTGGAAAAGCTTGGTGTGGTGACAGATGGGAACTAGACTTATTGTGACCATTTTTATAACGTATAAAAATATCGAATCACTATGTGGTATACCTACATCGTATGTCAGTTATAGTTCAATTAAGAAAAATCCATTAGTGTCAGAATGAGAAAGGGTCTGGGAAGATGGCGCAGTAGGAGCACCGCAAGTCCCCATCCCCTGCCGGAACCGGTCTGCCATAACTGTCGGGAACGCTGGAGAATGCAGAAGGCTTGTAACGCCCAGGGGAGACTTGCAGGGTGGCAGCGCCCCTCCCCCAGCCCCCCCGGCAGGCAGCTCCCCGTCTCCCACCCCTGTGGCAGGCGGCTGTGCATGGGTCCTGGAGTAGCTTGCACACAGCTCGCAGGCGCCAGGGCGGGGAAAGAAAGGACCCTGTCCTCCAGATACTGGGGATCTGTGCTCTGATAGCTCAGCACTGCTTCTGATCTCACAGGTGCAGAGAAAGAGGCAGGCGCCGTTGTTGTACCGACCCCGACCCCGCACCCCTGCATTGTTGCAAGACCCTCTGCCTCTTCTCTTCCAGGGGATTTAAAGGGCCAGAGCCCTTTTTTTAAAAAAATATTTTTTATTTATTTACTTTTGGCTGCATTGGGTCTTCATTGTTGCGCATGGGCTTTCTCTAGTTGCGGCAAGTGGGGGCTACCCTTCGTTGCGGTGCATGGGCTTCTCATCACGGTGGCTTCTCTTTTTGTGGAGCATGGGCTCTAGGCACACGGGATTCAGTAGTTATGGCACATGGGCTCAGTAGTTGTGGCTCACGGGCTCTAGAGTACAGGCTCAGTAGTTGCGGTGCACGGGTTTAGTTGTTTTGCGGTATGTGGGATCTTCCTGGACCAGGGACCAAACCTGTGTCCCCTGCATTGGCAGGTGGATTCCCAACCACTGTGCCACCAGGGAAATCCCCAGAGCCCTTTTTTAATCCCCTGTACTTTTTGCTTTTCCCCTTTCAGGAGCCAGACATTAAAGACTAAGGACATATAAAAATAACTGCATATATGGGGAGAATTAGAATGTGACTACTTGTGCCCAGGGAACGGCTCAGAAAACACTTAAGAAGACATTAACTTTACGCCTCAGGCTGACCCTTGGCACAAAGACAATCAAAAACAAAACCTAGGGAAAGCACAAAGCCTAGGGAAGAGGAAGAATCTGATTTCCAGAGTCACCAAGTTGTTAAATGAAAATGTCCAGTGCACAACAAAAAAAATCGCAAGGCATACAAAGAAACAGGGAAGTATGGTCAAAATACTTTTTACCCGAAGGAAAAAAATAATTCAACAGTCTCTCCCTGAAAAAAGACCTGATGGTGGACATACTGGACAGAGACTTTAAAACAGCAGTCTTAAAGATGCTCAAAGAACTAAATAGGACATGGAGAAAGTCAAGAAAATAATGTATGAAAAAGGTGGAAATATCAATAAAGACATAGAAAACCTAAAAGACCAAAATGAAATTTGGAGCTGAAAAGTACAACTGAGATGGAAATTTTCACTAGAAAGATTCAAAGGCAGATTTAAGCAGAATGAATAAAGAATCAGCAACTATGAATATAGTACAATGGAAATCATCAAGTTTGAGAAACAAAAAAGATTGAAGAAAAGTGAACAGAGCTAAGGGATATGTGGGCACCACTAAGCAAGCCAACATACGTACTGTGGGAGTCCCAGAGGAAGAAGTTATGGGTGGGGGCAGAAAGAATATGTGAAGATATAATGGCCGATAACTTCCCAAATTTGATGAAAGACACAAATATAAACATCCAAGAAGCTCATGGACTTCAAGTAAGATGAACTCAAAGAGACCCACACTGAGACACGTTATATAATCAAACTGTCGAAAGGCAGAGAATCTTGAAAGCATCAAGAGAAGTGACTCACCACACACAAGGATCATCAATAAGATATTAGCAGATTTCTCACCAGAAACCTTGGAGCCCAGAAGACAATGGGCTGATATATTCAAAGTGCTAAGTGAAAAAAAATGGTTGATCAGGAATTTTATATCTGGCTAAACTATCCTTCAAAAATGAGGGAGAGGGATTTCTCTGGCAGTCCAGTGGTTAAGACGCCACACTTCCACTGCAGGGGGCATGGGTTTGATCCCTGGTCTGGGAACTAAGATCCTGTATTCCGCGTGGCGCAGCCAAAAATAAAACGAGGGAGAAATTAAGACAATCCCAGATACGCAAAAGCTGAGGGCGTTAGCGACCACTAGACCCGCCCTGCAAGAAATGCTCAAGGGAGCCCTGCAGGTGAGATGAAGGGACATCAGGCAGTGACTCAAAGCCACGTGAAGAAATAAAGTGTTCAGAGAGGTAAATATATACGCAGCTACAAAACCCAGTATTGTTGTGAAGTGCGTTGTAACTCCACTTTTGTTTTTTCTCCCCCCATGTTTAAGAGACTAATACATTAAAAAAGAAAAAAAATTATATATATATATATACATTCACACACATATATATATACTTCCAGTTTTGATATCTGCATGTGAGGAGCTTGGAAATTGCAACTCCATCCTAACAAGTAAAAAGCAGAACAATCTAAAAAATCAAAAACTCTTCTTGGCGGACACAAGTCAAACTGTTACATCCAAGACTGGGGAGACAGGCAAGTACAGTGAATCATGGTTTACCAGAGTAGAGAGTCAGGAGTGCAACCTGGCCTGGGAAACCAGTTCTGGGGCAGAAAAACTTAAACTGCAGTTGATGGATTTCAGGAGACTCAAAGTTGTCAGCAACTGTGAGAGTTAAAACCTATGGGGGGCCTTCCCTGGTGGCACAGTGGTTGAGAGTCCGCCTGCTGATGCAGGGGACATGGGTTCGTGGCCTGGTCCGGGAGGATCCCATATGCCACGGAGCGGCTGGGCCTGCGCATCCGGAGCCTGTGCTCCGCAACGGGAGAGGCCACAACAGTGAGAGGCCCGCGTACCACCAAAAAAAAAAAAAAACTCCAGGGGACCCAGTCATGAGGGAGCCCACACAGTACTGTGAGATTTACCCCTGGAGCCTGAGCAGGTTCCCAAGTAAATATCAGCAAAGCCCCCTCAAGCTTTCTGCAGGGGGAGGGAAGGAACCATCTCCTACCGCGACAGAGCACTCTGCTCTCCTTAACAAGGCTGCGCTCAAGGGAAACTCGTTAACCAGAGCCTGACCTGCTGGGGTGTTATCAGAGCCTAACTGACCAGGGGAAGGGAAATGCCCAGCTCCAGCCTCTCTGGGCAGCCCGTCCCAACCAAGGGGAGATAAAGGACTGAGAAACACTTGTGAAGTTCACAGTCCAGAGGCACAGGCTCAGTAAAAGAACTGAGGCCCGATCACAGGACCGTAGAAGGCGTCTCCTCTCCCACACCTCACCTCCACATTATTAAGGCCTATCTATAGCAGTTCCTTTCACCCAGTACATCATGTCTTGCTATCAGGAAAAAATTACAAGGCAAATTACACAATTAAAAGGCAAAAAAACACAATTTGAAGAGATAGAGCAAGGTTCAGAACCAGATATGGCAGAGATGTTGGAATTATCAGACTGGGAATTTAAAACCATTAAGTTCAATACGCTGAGGGCTCTCATGGGTAAAGTAGACGACATGTAAGAACAGATGGGCACTGTGAGCAGGGAGTTGGAACTCCCGGAAAAGAGCTGAAAAGAAAAGCTTGAGATAAAGAAACACTGTAACAAATGAAGCCTTTGGGGGCTTATTAGCAGACTGGACATGGCTGAGGAAAGAACCTCTGAGCTAGAGGATGTCTCAATAGAATCCTCGAAAAGCAAAAAGTAGGGAGAACAAACGCTGGAAAAAACAATGTCCAAGATCTATGGGACAATTACATAAGGTGTAACTTGTATAACAGGAATATTGGAAGGAACGAAAGAGGAAGAAACAGAAGATTTAAAATAACGACTGACAATTTCCACAACTGAAATGTCAGACCCCAAAACAGGAAGCTCAGAGAACATCAAGCAGGATAAATGCCAATAAATAAATAAATAAAACAAAAAATCTACACCTTTACGTATCATTTTTAAACTAAAGAAAATCAAAGACAAAAACCTCAAAGAAACCGGCAGGGTTGCGGGGGGGGGAATACCCTACCTACAAAATAACAAAGATAAGAACTACAACTGACTTCTCAGAAATCGCGCAAAAGAAAGAGGAAAGTGGACTGAAA